CCAAATTTCTCTTGGAGGTTTTCCACTGAAGAAACCATTTATGCTGAAGAGATCAGATTCATTGCCTCCTTAGGCCTTTGGTGATTACAAATAGGCCTTGCAAAACGCATTTAAAAATCCCAAGAAAGCCCGCTTTACTGGTGACAGGCATTGAAAGCAATAACGTTCACTTTTAGAATGATTTTTAGTAAGTGCTCAAAGCACCACCCACAAATTTTGCTAGTACATTTAACCCAGGCTGCAACGCTTCAGCTTGTCGTGTGCGATCATGCGTTTTTGCGCTAAATCTGCATATCACTAACAGCAAGAATGGTTTCTATACCGTATTTGAACACTTGGACTCATATTGGATGTGTTTTGGCCTTCTCCCACATGCAGAGGGAAAGAGCGCCAGCTGGGATGAAAATGTTGCGTTATAGGACAGTATTGACCTTTGTCAGTTTTTGCACGAAACCTTGTCGTTTTTCTGGTAAATGATCGTTCATTGAAAAAATGCACTTTTGCAGGAAGTCGGAAGAGGATAATGAAATCTGCAAAATGCACACGCATTCAAGTTTGCGATGAAATGAGTACTTATCATGTCCGCATGCAGGAAATTCCACCTCCAAGCTGAATTAAGACCGCACGTGAATACAGAATACGCTTGCAAAGTTGCAGCTCTCTATTTTGTCTGGTTAGCGGAATAGCCACTTCGTTATGATTTGAAGTGCACTAAGTCGTGTCCCAAATACAAATCGAAGCTCAATTTAGGTATGTGACTATCCATATGAACAAAAAATGCTCTGACAAAATTTCAGCTACTGTTTTTCGACTATTTTTCAAGTTAGCTTAGTGCCAACTGAGAAATTTGACGCAACCGTACGTGTGACATAAGCGTGTGCGGTAGCCTAATGAAATCTTTAGCTAATGCATGCACAGAAAATATCCCTACAAAGTTTCAGGTTTCTATCTTGTCTGTATCATGAAATCATTCTCCGCCAAAAAAATTTTCAAATTCCTTATCTTACGCGAAATTTAGGCGCGTATGAGCGAAGATTTTAAAACGGGAGAGTGACGCATGGGATCCGACTATGACCCCAAAGTTTCAGCGTCTCAGCTTTTATGGTTGCTGAATTGAAAATGGGTGGCAGAGTTAACTTGCTTCCGAACGCACACACATACACTACGACCTCTTGGTAATATGCGTTTTTGCTCACTGCAGCAGCGTATAGCGCTGCACAGCAAAACCGCATATAAATAAGCAACAGCTGATTAACGTGAATTCTGAGTTTGAACTTTTGATACAAAATTATTGGAATCTGGATTTATATCACAGACACAGAGTCTCAAAGTATTCTCCAAACTGCGGTCTCTTAGCTTCGTGCGTATTTAAGTTTTATTTTCACAAGGATGCAGAGGAGTGGCGGACCCCTTGGTTCGCCTAGCTAAATACCACATCCCGACTCTTTCCGCGGCCGGAGCCGGCGCGCGACCGCTTGTTGCCCACCCATGCTCTAAAGTCAAATGGATTATAGCAAATCCAATGGGAAAGCCATGAAGCCTAAAAAAGCAGCAAATATTTGAAACTTCGGTGACAAAGACCAGAAATATTTTTTACTTATTTCGCTGGTTGCACCTCTAATTGCATTTCATTGGTTTGAAAAAGTTAGCTTGTACCGCCCCTTTAAATTCAGGTGTGCAAAGAAAGGAAAACCACATATAAGTCGACCGTAGGTGAGCTTTCTGCACTCCGATATTTTCCGTGTTGCATCCTCGCCTCCAGAACGTTTTAGGATACGAGTATGAGAATGCCAAGACCCGCCCAGTCTGATGCCTCGAACCGTACAGGTGCCAATACATGGTGCAGGCTGTTTTTTTAAAGAACTGACCAAACCACAGTTGTCCTGCCGATTTCGTGATACTGCAAGGCTTCACTCAGACCGGGCATATGGACGTGCTGAATCTGTAACACCATACGAAATGCCATATTAGCACCTGAACATGATTGTCTCCTTATTCCCTTGACATCGCAGGGTTCCACCTGCGCTTCTTCAAACACATATCAGTTCCCTGAATTTGAATTCTAGCCAGTCCCTCTCGTTTTTACACCATGGCTAATATATCCTTGCTTGTAACACGAAGTGATCGCTTCTCAAGCTGAAGGAGGGAAATATAGAGAGAGCCTTCGGAATGCGGCAGTCATCGCTTGAAATGTATACATTTTACTTTTTGCGCGTTCAGGTCAAGTTCGTTTCTCATTTTGTTTCGTCTCGGAACGAGCTATTACCAGAAAAAGCGTATTTTTTCACACCATTATTAAATGTCCACAATTATTTACTTATGAGGATTCTTAGCTGTTGTTCCTTATCCTCCTCTTGTGGATCTGCACGGTAAAACGGACCGAATGCTATGCAGCGTACTGCAAGCCAATATTTCATATTTTCGTTTCATGCTTAGCCACACCGCGTGCTTGAAAACCCGTTGCTTTTTTATGCGTTTTGGCGTTTTTTGCTAGCGCTATAGCGCTACTACAGTCAGTAATAATTAGTCAACGCACGGGCTACCCGTGCGAAAATCCGTTTTTTGCATAGTTCCCCGCAGTTTTTGTCGCTACCGGCATCGGTTTTTTGGCAAATCCTTCTGGCTAAAAAAATTAAGACCGGCCGCCAAAACTGGCAGGGAGCACCTCATTAAAATTTCAGCCCTCTAGCTTTCTTGGCCGCTGAGTTAGCAATTGACTGGAAAAAATTTTTCACGAGCCCGCACTCGGGTACCCCGTATACCCGATGTCTGGGTTTGAGCTCGTTGAGACTTACTTGGACGGGGAACATTTTCCTAAAACTACATTCCTTTAGCTTCACAGGTTCCGTGGGCTGGGTTTGATCTTAACGAGATCAGTGTGGACGAGAAACACCCTCTTAATGTTTCATTCTTCCAGCACCTCGGATCCCTGAGTTATGAACTTGTACGAGAGAAACTTTAGCAGGCCCGCACGCGGGTACCAAGCTTGCCCGGGGGTTGGGTTTGACCTCACAATTACCTACTTGAACGGGAAACATTCTCTCTAGAAGCAGAAGCTTTAAAGTCCATAAAAAACATACCCTGCTGCTGCGCAAAATCACTATTTAGAATGATTGTGTTATAGCAAAAAACACACAAACAGGCCGCTTTTAGTTCGCCCTTTTTTATTTTTTGCAAATTTTATAGTTTTTTGCGTTCTTTGTATCTAAGCAATGCAGAAAACTCATACTGACGAGGGGTCGTCTGTGTGTCAGTGTGTCTGTGTGTGTATCTGTGCCAATTTTTCATCTCAAGACTTATAAAAGCTACAAGGCTGAGATTTTGGGAACTTAATCTGAATGCACGTACCGATCCCAATCTCCAAAATGGGCGCGCTTATCCGCGTAGTATCTACGAACGGGCCCGTAGAAATTTTCTGCGGGTAAGTCGTTAACTCGAGAACCAGAAAAGCTAGAAAGCTGAAATTTTAAGCGATATTCCCTATTCATGTAAATCTTAATGAGCTCAGACCCTGATACTGGGTGTGCGTGATGCCCACACACGAGTTGGTGGAAATTTTTCTCGGATAATTTGCTAAACTGAAAAGCTAGAAGGCTGTAATTTTAAGGGGATGTCCTCTTTCCAAGTATGTATTTAAAAGCTCAAACCCAGCCCCTTTCTGTGCGTGTTACCTATGTATGGCCCCGTGAAATTTTTTTTCGGGTAAATTGCTACCTCGGGAACCTGAGAAGCTATAGAACTGGAATTTTAAAGGGACGTTTCTCATCCATGTAGATGTTGGCGAAGTACCTACGTAGGGGTCCGCCAGAGTTTCTTCGGGTAGGCTGCTAACTCGGGAGCCAGGCAGGCTAGAAGCTGAAATTTCAAGGGAGTGTTTCCTGACAGTTCTGATAGCCAGTCTTAATTTGTTTAGCTAGAAGCAGTTGCCGGGAAAATCGGTGCCAGTAACGACAAAAACTGCGGGAACTGTGCAAAAAATACATCTTCGCACCGGAAGCCGGTGCGTTGGCCAATTATTGCTTATATTTTCAGGCTGTCATTTCTTCATTATGTACAGTCAAGTGACGCCGATATTCTTCTGCTTGCTTCTTGCACTTGTCACTGCCCAAAATAATACCAGTTCAGGCAGTACAGGAAGCGGAGGCAGTACAGGAACTGGAGGCAGTACAGGAAGCGGAGGCAGTACAGGAACTGGAGGCAGTACAGGAACCGGAGGCAGTACAGGAACCGGAGGCAGTACAGGAACCGGAGGCAGTACAGGAACCGGAGGCAGTACAGGAACTGGAGGCAGCACAGGAACCGGAGGCAGTACAGGAACCGGAGGTAGTACAGGAACCGGAGGCAGTACAGGAACCGGAGGCAGTACAGGAACCGGAGGCAGTACAGGAACTGGAGGCAGCACAGGAACCGGAGGCAGTACAGGAACTGGAGGCAGTACAGGAACCGGAGGCAGTACAGGAACCGGAGGCAGTACAGGAACCGGAGGCAGTACAGGAACCGGAGGCAGTACAGGAAGCGGAGGCAGTACAGGGAC